AGGGACAACAAAACGCGCATTAGGTGTTCGCATAGCCGAACATCAAACAGATATAAGGAAACAAAAACACAGCACAGCCCTATCACAGCACATATTAAACAGCGGCCACACAGCTGATTTCACTAACACTAGGATTATTGACAAGGAAAAGAGGGAAATGACGAGATACACTTTGGAAAGCTTAAGAATATTAGAAAAAAGGGAGAATAAGATCAATAAAAAAGAAGATACGGACAACATCGCGGCCGCCTACATGTTATGCATATCAAAATAAACAATTTAGTAATGACAAGACTACCATAAAGAGTGGTACTGATTATGTGTATATGTATTAATATTAAGTTTAAAGTAAATGTTTAATATTATTGTGAGTATATGTTCTTTGTATTAGTCCATAATTGTTGTCTTTGTTTTTACAAACACATGTATGCCAACTTTTATTATTCATTTGAACATCTTTTGTTTTTTCGTTGTATTTCTTTGTTGGATTTAATAAACATAGTGGCCCCTGATTATGCTGGAAATTTCAGCGAAACGTTGGGCAACGAAGGTGGAATAAGTGTTTTATTTGCACCATTAAATAATAGATCACACCAGCCTACAAGTGTACCTAAAATTTTTTATCTAAGAAGGTCTTTGGACTTCAGCAGGACTTAGAATTGACCCGATAAATTTCCCTTTTATCGATAAATATTAATGATTTCATACATATCGATAGTTCGATGAATTTCAAAAATCCTAAAATCCGATAACTCAACAAAATTCGTTAACTCGACCAATTTCAATAACTGTGAAATTCGAGGGCTCGACAAATTTCGATAACTTACAAATGTAAATTTTGTGGATATCGAAAAAGGTTGATAACTCATTACACTCTGTTAGCACGATAAAATTCGATAAGCAGTGATAAATCGATAAGCTTATATAATCTTGAAATTTCGTTTAATGGATATATTTTGAAAATTCCATAAACTTAGATTCGATGAATCAGCCAATTTCAGTAGATCAATAATTACACTATGCGACAGTCAAAATCGGGATGGGATGAAACCATCGGGAAATGTTATATCGGTCAAAAACAAGTTATACGTGTCCCGGCGTTTCGCTGGGTCACGTCTAGGAATCGATTTTGCTCAAACAAATTTAAAAAAATAAAAAATTACAATTCGTTTAATCTGTTCATATAACGTTTTTCTATATAATCAACAGTTTTGCCGGTAAAAATAAATGTATGAAGAAAAAAAATATTTTTTGCCTAAAATATTAAATTTTTTTAAAACTGTTGCCTGCGTTTAAAACTATAATATTTACAACGTTCTCCCGATTTTCAAAAATTAGGTGTCAAATGAAGGGCTTGGCCCCTAGATGTGCGGTAAGGATATATTTTTTGACAGGGTTGACACCTGCGTTTACAATTCTGATATTTACACCGTTCTTCCGATTTTCAAAAAATCTAGATGTGCAGTAAAGATATATTTTTATACCTTTCATGAGCATGAAATGGTATTATAACTTTGGTCCGATGTTTGTAAGTACCAGAATAAGAAGAGATAGACCCATTAAAATTTATACTTAAATGATCGGAACGGCGAGCTGAGTCGATTTAGCCATGTGCGTCTGTCCGTGTGTCTGTCTGTCTGTCCGTCTGTTTTTATGCAATCTAGTCTCTCAGTTTTCGAGATATCCAAATTTGGTAGGTGGGTGTATTTTTATAATGTATTAATCATTTGTCGGAACCGGAAGAATCGGACCACTATAACATATAGCTCCCATACAACTGATTGTTCAGATATAAGATTTTTCGTTATAACTCCTCCATTTAAGTAGCTAGTAACATGAAATTTTGAAATGTTGTCAACCATTATCAAAAGAATACTCTCAGTGAAAATGGCGAAGATCGGGTCGCTATAACCTATAGCCTCCATACGACTGATTGTTCAGATATGAGGTTTTTTGCCGTAACTTCTCCATTTATGCAGCTAGGAACATGAAAATTCTCACCGCTTTCACTCATTATTAACAGAATCATTACAGTTAAAATAACAAAGATCGGGTCACTATAACATATATCTCCCATTCAACTGATTGTTCAGTTATTAGAATTTTCGTTATGACTCCTCGATTTATGCAGCTAGGAACATGAAATTTTGCAATACTTCCAACGTTTATCAACAGAATTCTTAGAGTGAAAATAACAAAGATCGGGTCACTTTCACATATAGCTCCCATACTACTGATTGTTCAGATATACAACAACATAGAAACATGATATTTCGCACTATTTTCACTCATTATCAACAGATAGTTTACAGTAAATTAACCGGGTCACTGTAACTTATATATTGCCTCCATATAACTGATTGTTCAGATATACAACAACATAGAAACATGATATTTCGCACTATTTTCACTCATTATCAACAGATAGTTTACAGTAAATTAACCGGGTCACTGTAACTTATATATTGCCTCCATATAACTGATTGTTCAGATATGGGGTTTTAATGTAAAACTAATTTATTTGGACAGCTAAAACCGATAAATTTCGTAAGCTATTGTATAAATAATAATATAAAGTCTACTGAGAAAAGTGTCAACATCTATGCTGTATAAGCCTTATCTCGGGAACCACTGATTGTTTCTATACCAGTTTTTGCGATATATCTCCTTTATGTAGGAAGCTAAACCCATTAAATTGTGTTACCGGTTTACATACCGATCACACAGCAGTGAAAATCACTTTGATTGGTGCTATATAAGGTATATCTTCCATACTTCTGATTGTTTATATAAGATTTTGTATATATATATGTAACTCCTCTATCTATGTGTGCTGTGAATATATAAATTTTTTCAAATGCAGTAATCTGTTAAAGTAAAGTTTTCGGATGTTCATGAAAGGTATGAAGCCTTCGGCATAGCCGAAGACAGCGCTGCTCTTGTTTTAATATTCACACCGTTATTCCGATTTTCAAAAATGAGGTGTCAAATGAAAGGGCTTGGCCTCGAGATGTGAGGTAAAGATTTTTTGAATAGGGTTGCCACCCTTTTTATAAAAATAAGGCCTCAAATTAAAGGGCTGGGCCTGGATCGTACAATAAGGACATATTTTTTGAACAGAGTTGCCGCCTGTCTACAAAATTATAATATTTACATCCTTCGCATGATTTTCAAAAATGAGGTATCAAATGAAAGTGCCTAGCCTTTAGAAGTGCACCAAGGCTTTTATTTTTCAATAGGGTTGCCGTCTGTCAAAAAGTTATAATTATTACACCGTTTTCCCGGTTTTAAAAAACCGTTTGGGTCAAATGAAGAGGCTTTGCCTACAGCTGTGCAAAAGGGGTTTGTGAATGCTCTTTTCGCCAACTAGTAAGGGCATTGCTATGCGGATGGTTGTTCTTACCAAAGCGTGTTAAAATTGCGTTTGCTTATGCATACATGTGTCTGTATGTATGTACTTTGGTTGCAGATGGTTGTTTTTACCAAAGCATCGCAATTGCGTTTGCTTCTACATGCATGTGTATGTATGTATATATTTTGGTGAGTTTATTCATATCCACATATGTAAATACATTCTAAGACTATGTATGCATGTGAAAAAAATTTTGTCGATGGTGTTATTATTTTCTTCCATACATGTTAGGTAGAAAGCATTTTCGCTGTTGTTCATACGCGAGATTTTTCTACCCAACATATGCGAAAGCTGTTTGTTTAAAAATATTTCTACATACTTGCAATAATTGTGAGGGCCATCCTAACTAAAAAACTATATTCTTACGGCACATCCAGAGGCCAAGCTCTTTCATTTGACGCCTGACTTTTAAAAATCGGGAGAACGGTGTAAATATCATAATTTTAAACACAGGTAGTAACCCTATTAAAAAAATATATCCTTACTGCACATCCAGAGGCAAAACCCTTTCATTTTACACCTCCCCTTTGAAAATCGGGAGAACAGTGCAAATATCATAATTTAAAACGCAGGTGGCAACCCTATTGAAAAATATGTACTAACTGCACGTCAAGAGGCCAAGCCCTTTCATTTGACACCTCACTTTTGAAAATCGAGTGAACGGTGCAAATCTTTTGCAATTAACAAAATTACCTTCGCATAGAATAATATCTCTAGCCACACCTACTTTCCGCGAATATTTGCCGCAGCATCTACATTCACTTATGAACGAGAACGACAGCAATGAACCTTCGAGAAGGCATTGCTGCCACTCATAGCTACATACATATATGAACGGACGATGTTTGGTCCACCAATACATACGCGTACGAACAACAGTGGAAATTTTTTCTACCTAACATTCGCGAACGCGAACTATCTGGACTGGTTTTATACTTCTCGTTCGCGAAGGAGAATCAATACAGAACATTTGAATATTTCCGAACCCTGGCCCAGCGGGTTGATTGTTGTTTATTTCGCCTTCAAGTTTTTGGCGGAACCTAGGTGCTAGGGATGCCAAAATATGCGGAAAATTGTGGTCCTGGGATTTCGGAATATTTTTTAAGTAATCCCGGGATTCCGGCATTTATCCCGGGACTCACGTTGAGACGTAATTGTTATGAATTTGAGTAAAAGGCAATTAAAATACCATGAAACAAAACTATTTACAATTTGGGATAAACTGATTGTAAAATTCACATGTAGCCCTGTTCTGCAATCCGAGTCGGAATCGCATCGGAATCGGAACTCGATTCCGACTCGGAATTAAAATGGTTTTCCACAATCCGATCGGAACTTTTGTTTCGAAGGTAATATCGAATCCGATTCTGTAAAAAAAGGAACAAACCTCCAATCTGTAAATTTTTTTTTAGTGTGTCAATTTCATTTGGATAAATAAAACCGAGAAAATAAACATGAGTTCAATTGTTTTATTGGCGATTAAGCTGAATAATGAGCAGCGAACATCTTAAAAAGTGAAGCGAAAAATTTTGCGCGATC